AAAAAAAATTCAACTGTTTAGTTGCACGACTAAATATCGAGCTGTGGGCGCACTATATAAGCGAGAATATAGTTGTGCGATGGTTTAGTCAAAGAAGTGCATGCCCTAAAAGCTGTAGAAGTGGTCACTTGCAGTATTGCTCACAAATATCTAGTTCTTCCACGTTTAAGGGCATACAAAAATTACTGATTCTCTAAATTATGTCTACCAAGTCGAATAGTGATTTGTGACTTGTAATCATTTAATAACTTTAAAGCCAACATAAAAAGACCAATATTTGTCATTTTCCAACCTGACTAAAAATCGCATTTTCTATTCATTTTTTAATTATAATAGCAAGATTTTATTTCTCTGTAATATCTTATCTTACTAATATTATAAATGCGAAAGTCTTGGTTGGATGTTTGTTAGAGTTTGTAGCCTAAACGGCTGGTCGGATCTTGATGAAATTTGGTATAAACGTAAAGGATAGTCTGGAAGAACACATAAGCTACTCACTTTTGTTTTGTTTTTAATTCCACGCCGATGGAGTCGCGGGCGAAAGCTAGTAATATTATAAATTCGAAAGTTTAGATGGACGAATGTTTGTTATAGTTTGTAGCCTAATCTGCTGAACGGATCTTGTTAAAATTTGGCACAGATGTAGAGGATATTCTGGAAAAACACATAGGCTACTTAATTTTGTTTTAATTCAACGCGGACGGAGTCCCGGCATTAACAATATCTAACAATATTTCTATGTTAAATCATGAATCTCGTATAAAATATTCATTATATACGATTCCATTACGAAAGGCGAGAAAAGATCGAAACATCTAATGAATTAGAGATGAGCCACTCAACTGATTGGGCGGCCATCTTGAGCGCGCGTCACTATAAAGAAAAATGGCGGACAATTTATACGCGCCACAGGTAATACAATCTGAAAAACATAACTGTATTTTAATTATATTAAAAAAAAGAAAATAACATATATGTTTTTCAAGGCTACATCTATGACAAACATTGAGATCTGTTTAGCTTTCAGACAAACCTAAGTTGACTTCTAAAAAGCTGGGTGTGATCAATAGGGCGAAGCGGTACTTAGCCGGGCCGCTTTCAACTTAACGTGGCGCAAGTTTGGCCCCATATGGAGTACTGCTCGCACCTCTGGGCGGGAGAATCTCGCCGTCTCGGCGGTATTTCCAAACCAATACGACTTAGGGTCCTTCAAGAAGCGAGTCCACAATTTCCTAAAATGCTGGCTACGCATCTGGTGTTGCGAATGGCGTCGTTGATTGTCCATTGTTTCGCAGCCTCAACTGTTTCCAACAACTGAACATCGAGTAGTGCCCCTCAATATAAGTTCATAGTAATCCAAACAAGACTAAACAGTTGTGCGATAGTTTTGCTTTGTAAACTTATTTATACAACTATAAATACCTCGAATAAATATAATTCTCCTAACTAAGATTTCAACGTAGTTCTAAAAAAGGTCTTACTTTGTACATCAAAGGTACAAAGCAAAGAAACGGTAGAAATTTTACCCTTTGTGCGGCTGAATACTTGTGGTTTGTGCGGAGTTGGGTTGAGAGTAGGGTGACCATGAGTTTTATATTAAAATATGAGACTGACGGTTTTTGTCATTAGCTTTGTACTATTTTGATTATTAATGAAACGTCTGTGTGGAATTAAAAAAAAAAAAAACAGCATATTTAACTCACTGGTAATCTAGCTAGAAATCTATACTATTATAATAAAGCGTAAATACACACTTCTTTGTTACCTAAGATGTCAGTAATTAGAGCATATTTTTGAATAATTATTTTTTTAATGAAAAGCCCTACACTTATGTCACGCTTTAGGCTATGTATTTCCACGCCATTAAACTTAGGGGGTAAATATTTTGATTAAAAACCCTAATGTGGGAAAGAGACCATAAGTTGCTGCCAACATGTCATGTCATTTTGACATTAGCAATTGACAATTTGACACATGTAAACAATAAAATAAAATTTTCATAATTTAATGCGGACGAAGTCGCAGGGGAACAGCTAGTCTCTTATAATTTAATTAAACAGTTATGGAAACTCTTTGCGAAGTAATTCAGTTATCAAAGCGTCCTTTTAACACCTCTTTCAGTGGAAACTCTGACCGGAAGTGAGGCAATTTCCCCGTCGGCGAGATCAAAGTGAAATTCACTTAGCTGCTCTCATCAAAAGCGACGCGATAGGGTTGTGCGACTCTCGAAATGGTTATCGATATAGTTGTTTTCTACAATATTTATTATTTAAAATAACGACTTTTGTGTTGAGTTATTGGGTATTTTGGTTATATTAAAAATGGACTAGATACATTTCTTTAGCTCTGAGCTATTTAAATGCAATACGTATCTTACCAAA